TGTTATGAAATCTCACATTCCCCCCTCTGGTCACACATTCCCGTGTGACCACCAGGATCGATAAACAGCAACATAACATCATAACTCAATACTTCAACAACTCATAAACTCGGTACTTCACTCGGTACTCGGAATACTTCAAAAACTCATAAAACATGTTCAGATCTTTCATAAAACTTGTCAACAATCTTCAGTAAAATACCAAACTTCATCAGTCGATGGTTCCAGATATTGCTTTGAAAACAGTCTCTCCCACTTCTCCGTGTTGATTCTTTCAGGCTGCATTTGTGTCGAGCCATGAATTCTTCTGTGACGTGTCTTTCAATCACATGTTTCAGCTTCAGTGTCCAGATTCAGCAATCCAATTCAGTCCAAATTCTGTCCAAATTGTGTAATCCAATTGTTCAAAATGATGTCCATGCAAAAGAGGACGATGGTATTGTCCATGTCTCAGCAGCTCACAGCCTGAGTGGAATCAGAGGCTGTGCAGATTGTCCATGTGTGCTGGTCCAAAAGCATAGTTTCCCTTGAGGTTTCTCAATTTTGGCTTTAAAAAAAACCACATTTTGTGTAAAAAAAAAGTAGTCTTCTGTTCTCTAGATCAGTGTCTCCCAAAGTGGGGTCCGCGGCCCCCTGGTGGGCCGCGAGGGTACTGCAGGGGGGCCGCGGGAGGTCATAAAAAAAATAATATAATTATTTAATGTTAAATTTATAATGTTTTGTTTGTAATATTAAAATATTTGTGTTCATTATTTGACTTGAATAATCCACTGTAATCATTTTTGTATTACGATGTTTGTAGCAGAGGCTATTTCCCCAAAATAAAATAACCAGAAGAGCCTATTCTTAATGTTGTCTTCTTGGTTATTATTTTGGGGGGGCCACGCAGACCCGTCAGATTTTTAAGGGGGCCTCGGTGTTACTGAGTTTGGGAATGGCTGCTCTAGATGTTACAGACAAGGCCCGCATTCTTCCACCACCTGAAGAAGATGACAAGTCTGGGATCGTGTCATAAATTCCAACAGAAGAGATGTTTTATTATCGATGGTAGAGACAGCACGAACAACACGAACAACAGAATGCAAGTGTATTATACAGAGCGGAGGCATGGAGACCTCCAATCAGCAGCTGCCACGGTGTGCTTGTAGCTTGGCCTTCAGATAGACACAACAAGGGAAAAGTACTGGCTTCTGCACATTGATAGAATGATGAGTTTAACTTTAACAAAAGTTGCTTCAAAGTGTTATGAAATCTCACATTCCCCCCTCTGGTCATACATTCACGTGTGACCATCAGGATCGATAAACAGCAACATAACATCATAACTCAATACTTCAAAAACTCATAAACTCGGTACTTCAAAAAACTCAGAACTCGGAATACTTCAAAAACTCAGAAAACTCATAAAACATGTTCAGATCTTTCATAAAACTTGTCAACAATCTTCAGTAAAATACCAAACTTCATCAGTCGATGGTGGTTCCAGATATTGCTTTGAAAACAGTCTCTCCCACTTCTCCGTGTTGATTCTTCAGGCTGCATTTGTGTCGAGCCATGAATTCTTCTGTGACGTGTCTTTCAATCACACGTTTCAGCTTCAGTGTCCAGATTCAGCAATTCAATTCAGTCCAAATTATTTCCAATTTCAGAAATCCAGATTGTTCCAAATGATGTCCATGCAAAAGAGGACGATGGTATTATCCATGTCTCAGCAGCTCACAGCCTGAGTGGAATCAGGGGCTGTGCAGATTGTCCATGTGCTGATCCAGATGCATTGTTTCTCTTGAGGTTTTTCAGTTTTGGCTTAAAAAAAAAACACTTTTTGTGTAAAAAAAAAAGTAGTCTTCTGTTCTCTAGATGTTACAGACAATGCCCGCATTCTCCACCACCTGAAGAAGATGACAAAGTCTGGGATCGCGTCTTTAATTCAGACAGAAGACATGTTTTATTGTCGATGGTAGAGACAGCACGATCAAAGCACACGATCACAGATACAATAGAATGCAAGTGTATTATACAGAGCGGAGGCATGGAGACCTCCAATCAGCAGCTTCCACGGTGTGCTTGTAGCTTGGCCTTCAGATAGACACAACAAGGGAAAAGTACTGGCTTCTGCACATTGATAGAATGATGAGTTTAACTTTAACAAAAGTTGCTTCAAAGTGTTATGAAATCTCACATTCCCCCCTCTGGTCATACATTCACGTGTGACCATCAGGATCGATAAACAGCAACATAACATCATAACTCAATACTTAAACTCGGTACTTCACTCGGTACTTCAAAAAAACTCAGAACTCGGAATACTTCAAAAACTCAGAAAACTCATAAAACATTTTCAGATCTTTCATAAAACTTGTCAACAATCTTCAGTAAAATACCAAACTTCATCAGTCGATGGTGGTTTCAGATATTGCTTTGAAAACAGTCTCTCCCACTTCTCCGTGTTGGTTTCTTCAGGCTGCATTTGTTGTGTCGAGCCATGAATTCTTATGTGACGCGTCTTTCAATCACACGTTTCAGCTTTAGTGTCCAGATTCAAAAATCCAATTCAGTCCAAATGATGTCCAAATTCAGAAATCCAATTGTTCCAAATCATGTCCATGCAAAAGAGGACGATGGTATTTTCCATGTCTCAGCAGCTCACAGCCTGAGTGGAATCAGGGGCTGTGCAGATTGTCCAAGTGCTGATCCAGATGCATTCTCTTGAGGTTTTTCAGTTTTGGCTTAAAAAAACAAACACTTTTTGTGTAAAAAAAAAAGTCTTCTGTTCTCTAGATGTTACAGACAAGGCCTGCATCCTTCCACCACCTGAAGAAGATGGCATAGTCTGGGATCGCGTCTTTAATTCAGACAGAAGACATGTTTTATTGTCGATGGTAGAGACAGCACGATCAAAGCACACGATCACAGATACAACAGAATGCAAGTGTATTATACAGAGCGGAGGCATGGAGACCTCCAATCAGCAGCTTCCACGGTGTGCTTGTAGCTTGGCCTTCAGATAGACAAAACAAGGGAAAAGTACTGGCTTCTGCACATTGATAGATTGATGAGTTTAACTTTAACAAAAGTTGCTTCAAAGTGTTATGAAATCTCATAGAATGATGAGTTTAACTTTAACAAAAGTTGCTTAAAAGTGTTATGAAATCTCACAATCATTATGGTAGAACTATGACAAATGTAAACAATAAAAAAACACACCTTGTCGTGTTAGGAAAAATGTTCAGGATGTAAAAAGATAAAGTATTGTATGAAATCAGATTGACAGATTTTGGTTTTGAACGAGTTCAACAGTTTTGTATGTGATGACCAAAGCCATGAAATGAGCTTTAGTTTTACAGGGAGAAACTATTCAGTCGTGATAAGTTTTATTTTGACTAACAGGACAGAAGCAAATGACAATATTTATTTTTACCAACCGTAATCGACAGGGCCAAGCCAAAGTAGCCCTGTATATTCTCTGGGTCAGTCTTATAATGCATCGGTTTTATATAGCGCTTTTCTGGACACTCAAAGACGCTTCACATGTGTCATTATTCATTCACTCCATACACGGTGGTGATAAACTACTGCTGTAGCCACAGCTGCCCTGGGGCACACTGACAGAAGCGAGGCAACCAGTATGCGCCATCGGCCCCTCCGACCACCACCAACCATTCACACACAGACCAGACTCATTCTAGGCAATGGGGGTGAAGTGTCTTGCCTAAGGACACAACGGCAGTTTGGCACTTTACAGCCGCAGCCGCCCCACTGTGGCTGGTGTTCCCAGAGGTTAAGTGTCTTGCCAAGGACACAACGACAGTAGTCAGTGGGAGTCGATGGTGAAAGTCTTGAGCGGGGCTTGAACCCACGACCTTCTGGCTCAAAGGCCAAAGCTCTACCAACTGAGCTACTGCCGCCCAGTAGAAACATTAAGTTTCCCCTCTGGTTCACAGTGTGTGCGGCACGGTGGCTGAGTGGATAGCACTCTCGCTTCTTGACACGAAGGTCCTGGGTTCGAATCCCGGTCGGGACAGGGCCTTTCTGTGTGGAATTGGCATGTTCTCTGTGTCTGCATAGGTTTCCTCCGGGTGCTCCGGTTTCCCCTACCCAAGTGACCTTGGTCCATGAAATGCGCTATATAAATAAACATCATGATCTTTTAATGTGGGGGCTAATTTAAACTCAAAATAGTAAGTTATTGTAGGGGACAGTAATCTGAACTTAAAAAAGTAAGTTTTTACAGACTTGAAATTTCCAGTAACTTGAATTTAAACACTTAGTTGGCAGAACTTGGAAAACTTAACTGACACAACTTAATAAGTGTAGTTCTTCAAAACTTGAAGAATTAAGTTAATGCCTTCAACTCAAAAATCCTTCGCAGCTGGTTGCTTTGAAATTTTGAGTTGAACTAACTTTTTCTTTTTTACAGTGTGCATGGACCAGAAGTCCAATTAAAATAATGGACAATTGCTCCTGCAGCCCTGAACAGGACATGCGAGATGCGCGGGTCGGCCCGAAACCCGCAGTCAACCCGCGGGTCCCGCGGTTTCGGGCGGGTTGGATGCCTCAAAAATATGAGTCATGTCAGGTGCGGGTGGGTCGGGTCAGAAAGCTCCTGATCCCTATATAATATTATATATGTGAGCCACGGTATGGGAGTCCCTTGAGTACATTTGCAATCGCGCAGGGAGGCCTGTTAAACAAAAAAATCATGCTGACAAACAGGATCGCTCCTTCCTGACTCCCCGCTTAAAGCCTCAGAACACTCCAGCCCGAGGACAGACGTGTGATCTACACAGAGGCACCGAGACTGATGACTGTGGGCCTCACAGCTCTAGTCCTGCTCTTGATGGACCAACAAGACTGATGGAGGACCCACAATGATCTTTAGTCTCTCTCTGGTGTCTCTCAGGTCTCTCTCAGGTCTGGTCTCTCTTATTTGTTTTAAAAGAGATAAGACGTTTACAAAACACACTCACAGATGGTTTGAATAAGCACTCATATTCTGTCTGTTAAAGCTGCATCTGTTGATGGTAGCTGTGATGGTGTCTCCTGCAGACGCTGGTCTCAGTGTCTGTGGTTTTAATGAAGCAGAAAATGACTTGTTCAGTTCTTAATGCAATCATGTCTGAGCCACACTCCGAATAAATTAAAAAAACTGTGACCGGGTCCTGTATTCAGAGATCTCTGGTCTCTCTCTCTGGTCTCTCTCTGGTCTCTCACTGATCTCTCTCGCTGGTCTCTCTCTCACTGATCTCTCTCGCTGGTCTCTCTCTCGCTGGTCTCTCTCTCGCTGGTCTCTCTCTCGCTGGTCTCTCTCTCGCTGGTCTCTCTCTCGCTGGTCTCTCTCTCTGGTCTCTCTCTCTGGTCTCTCTCTCGCTGGTCTCTCTCTCTGGTCTCTCTCTCTGGTCTCTCTCTCTGGTCTCTCTCTCTGGTCTCTCTCTCTCTGGTCTCTCTCTCGCTGGTCTCTCTCTCTGGTCTCTCTCTCTGGTCTCTCTCTCTGGTCTCTCTCTCTGGTCTCTCACTGGTCTCTCACTGGTCTCTCACTGGTCTCTCACTGGTTATTGACCAGTGAGAGGCCGGTGAGACTTCTAGACTGGTCACTCTCTCTCGTCTTTCTCTCGTCTCTCTCACTGGTTTCACCTCCCCTCTCTTTCTGCTCTCTCTTGTCTCCCATAGTCTCTCTCTGTAGTCACTCTCTCTGGTCTGCCTCTCTCTCTCTGATCTCGCTATGGTCTCGTTCTGGACTTGGTTTCTCTCTGGTCTTACTCTGGTCTCTCTCTCTCTGGTCAGAGTTCTGTTCTTTTGGCTCTTCCTCCTCTTCTATTCTTAGATCTGTCAGAGACCGTGGGTCACGTGAGCTACAAATGCCCCAAACCATAGAGAGGAAACTGCTAACTGCAAATTTATTTATTTAGAACAAAGACAAAAACAATCACAATCACAAAAACAATCCCACTTTGTGTGGGATCTGAGTCCCACACAAAGTGGGACTCAGATCCCTCTCTGGTCTTGGATTTCCCTCACTGCTATATAGTCTCTCTGGTTGCTCTGGTCTCTCTCTCTGGTCTCTCTCTGGTCTCTCTCTGGTCTCTCTCTCTGGTCCCTCTCTCTCTGGTCCCTCTCTCTCTGGTCCCTCTCTCTCTGGTCCCTCTCTCTCTGGTCCCTCTCTCTCTGGTCTCTCTCTCTGGTCTCTCTCTCTGGTCTCTCTCTCTGGTCTCTCTCTCTGGTCTCTCTCTCTGGTCTCTCTCTCTGGTCTCTCTCTCTGGTCTCTCTCTCTGGTCTCTCTCTCTGGTCCCTCTCTCTGGTCTCTCTCTCTGGTCTCTCTCTCTGGTCTCTCTCTCTGATCTCTCTCTGGTCCTTCTCTCTGGTCCCTCTCTCTGGTCTCTCTCTCTGGTCTCTCTCTCTGGTCTCTCTCTCTGGTCTCTCTCTTTGATCTCTCTCTGGTCTCTCTGGTCTTGTTGTCGGCAGAACAAATATTTTCTTCATTCCAAATTGCATTATTTACTCACTTACATCTAAAGATCCCTGTGAGTCACAATCGAGAGAGAGAGAGAGAGAGAGAGAGAGAGAGAGAGAGGAAAAGAGAGAGAGAAAGAGGAGAGACCAGAAAGAGAGAAAGAGGAGAATAGACCAGAGAGAGTGCAGGTATGCCAGAAATTCCTGATCATGAACGGGTCTAAAAACACCTGCAGGTTGGTGACTGATGAGGAGCATTGTTTGTCTCTTTTTGGTCTCTCTCTGGTCTCTCTCTGGTCTCTCTCTGGTCGCTCTCTGGTCTCTCTCTGGTCTCTCTCTGGTCGCTCTCTGGTCTCTCTCTGGTCGCTCTCTGGTCTCTCTCTGGTCGCTCTCTGGTCTCTCTCTGGTCTCTCTCTGGTCGCTCTCTGGTCTCTCTCTGGTCTCTCTCTGGTCGCTCTCTGGTCTCTCTCTGGTCTCTCTCTGGTCTCTCTCTGGTCTCTCTCTGGTCGCTCTCTGGTCGCTCTCTGGTCGCTCTCTGGTCTCTCTCTCTCTGGTCTCTCTCTGGTCTCTCTCTGGTCTCTCTCTGGTCTCTCTCTGGTCTCTCTCTCTGGTCTCTCTCTCTGGTCTCTCTCTGGTCTCTCTCTGGTCGCTCTCTGGTCTCTCTCACTAGTCTCTCTCACTAGTCTCTCTCTCTAGTCTCTCTCTAGTCTCTCTCTGGTCTCTTTCTGGTCTCTAGTCTCTCTCTGGTCTCTCTCTGGTCTCTCTCTGGTCTCTCTCTGGTCTCTCTCTGGTCTCTCTCTGGTCTCTCTCTCTCCAAAAAATTGCTCTCAAGAGCTGAATTATTTCTGCTTCTGTAGACCTGTTCAACTCAAACACAACAAGAAAACTAAAAATAACCACAAAGTCATGACAGCATCCTAAAAAGTGCACGTGGGGGAGGGAGGGGGAGGGATCTACCATCAAGACAATCTCGTAAAAAGGAACGCAGAAATCTGGGACAAATTCCACAAGAAAACACAAAATGTGAAGCAGAGACTGAGGCAGAGACTGAAGCAGAGACTGAAGTAATCAAATCTTTTTTCTATATTTTCTGCAAGAATCAAAACACAAAATGTAGATGAGAGCATTAGCAACAACTTAAAAAAAAAAAACCTGCAGTTTTGATATTTGTGACTTTGGCTTCCAGATAGAGACCAGAAAGAGACCAGAGAGATAGAGTGACCAGAGAGAGACCAGAGAGAGACCGGAGAGAGCATTGTCCATATTCCTGTCTGTACTAGTCTGTACAGACAAGAAGATGTCTGTACTTCCTCTTCAGACCAAGTCCTGGTCCTGTTCTTGGTGCTGGTCCATACCTGGCTCGGTGCAGTTCTTATGGGTCTCAGCCTCAGCGTAGAGCCGGGACTCGTTCTCGTAGTAGTAGTTCTGCAGCAGATGCCTCAGTCCTGCTCCTCCTTCCACTGTGTCTGTTCCACTGGAGGTCTCTGAAAACACAACATGAGACTTTAGATTCTCAAAGTCACAGACAGAACACCACAGACACTGGGACCAAACAGTATTTAGGGTGTATTCAGACCTGCACTTTTGGTCCACTTTAAACAGACCAGGATTCGTTTGGAACTCTGATCCAGACCTTTTATGCCTGAGTGAATACACACAAACAAATCCTGGTCCGGACCAAAGAACCGGACCGAGACCAACTTTTTAGGGGGTCTCGGTCCAATTCCAAACAAACTCTGGTCCGAGTCGATCCAGGTCTGAATACAACCGGCGTCAACACAACTCCAGGATACGTGCGCATTTTTTGGGCTTAACAAGCCTCAGACAGTGGTCTCTGACAGTGGTCTTTGACAGTGGTCTCTGACAGTGGTCTCTGACAGTGGTCTCTGACAGTTGACAGTGGTCTTTGACAGTGGTCTTTGACAGTGGTCTTTGACAGTGGTCTTTGACAGTGGTCTCTGACAGTGGTCTCTGACAGTGGTCTCTGACAGTGGTCTCTGACAGTTGACAGTGGTCTCTGACAGTGGTCTCTGACAGTGGTCTCTGACAGTGGTCTCTGACAGTGGTCTTTGACAGTGGTCTCTGACAGTGGTCTCTGACAGTGGTCTTTGACCGTGGTCCCAAACGCCTGCTCCGTCAAACCGGGGTCATGGAAAGAGTCCTTTAGTTTGTGAAATAACTGAATCTCTCCACACGTCTTGGTCACTTTTTGTCCCTTATCAACCACTGAATTTCAAGATGGCGCATTAACACAGAGAGTCCTCAGGAGAGAGAGAGAGAGAGAACGAGAGAGAGAACGAGAGAGAGGAGAGAGAGGTGCGAGAGGGGGAGAAAGAGGTTAGAGAGAGCGGGAGGGAGAGCGAGAAAGAGGATGGAGAGAGAGAAAGAGAGAGAGGGAGGTAGGGGGAGAGAGAGAGAGAGAAAGGCTGGCGAGGGAGAGAGACAAGAGAGTCCTCCAGCCTCTAGTTTATGACAACAATTCCAAAACATGGTGGAGGTATATTCTTAAAAAGGTCACATTTTTTATTAGTAAAGTTTTTTTCATTTGGAGCAACTGTAAAAATAACATTTAAAGAATCAAAGAGATCAACTTTGAGACGAAATGTGGAGAAAATACAGAAAATCTGAATTTAATTTTAAAGAGTTTATTTGTAAATTCTGAAGGAAAGTAAGAATTTAGTCAATAACAAAATCTCGTGACTTTCTTAGACATGGTTTATGTATGTGTTGATAGTGTCTCTGTGAGTGCGCTGCAACACTGACATTTCCTCTGCTGTTGCTACAGAGACTGATGCTCCTATGAGATCTATTGTTGTGCTTTGGAAGTCACGGACCCCAGCTTTAACCAAAGATTCTAAATACATCAAGATCACGTTTTAGGGACAAAATTATCCTTCTTCTCCTCTTCCTCCATCTCTCTCTCCCTCCTCTCTCTCTCTTTTCCTCCTCCCTCTGTCTCCTCTTCCTCCTCCTCGTTTCTCTCCTCTTACCCCTCCGCCCTCTCTCTTCTCCTCCCCTCCTCCTCGCTCCTGATTCACCTCGTTTCTTTAACTGAAGCAGAATTAATTTGCCCGTTTCCATGGAGACGTGACGTTATGTGCGAGAAGAGGACAGAGCAGTGACATAACAGGACTTCAACCTGAGAGACTCCTCCTACTGCTGTTACTACTGCTGTTACTACTGCTGCTGCTACTGCTGCTACTACTGCTGCTACTACTGTTACTACTACTGCTGCTTCTACTGCTGTTACTACTACTGCTGCTACTACTGCTGTTACTACTGCTGTTACTACTACTGCTGTTACTACTACTGCTGCTACTACTGCTGCTGCTACTGCTGCTACTACTGCTGTTACTACTGCTGCTGCTACTACTGCTGTTACTACTGCTGCTGCTACTGCTGCTACTACTGCTGTTACTACTGCTGTTACTACTGCTGTTACTACTACTGCTGCTTCTACTGCTGTTACTACTACTGCTGTTACTACTGCTGTTGCTACTGCTGCTGCTACTGCTGCTACTACTGCTGTTACTACTACTGCTGCTACTGCTGCTGCTGCTACTACTGCTGCTGTTACTACTACTGCTGCTGTTACTACTACTGCTGCTGTTACTACTACTGCTGCTGTTACTACTGCTGCTGCTGTG